CTCTTCTCCAACACCTCCATTCAAAGGCATCCATTTTCCCTCTGTCATCCTTCTTCATTGTCCAACTTTCAGGCTCATAGGATGTAATGGAAAAGATCCATGGCTTGGATCAGGAGCACCTTAGTCTTTAAAGTGACACTGTTGCTCCTTAGCACTTTGGAGGGATCCCTGACAGGTCTCCAAAGGTAGGAGGTAATATTTTTATTTGCATTTTACACCTAAGGGAGGTTCCATAGACTTGAGATCTGAAAGGCTGTTAAAAGTATGAATAATGCCAAATGAACTTGCCTGCTATTCTTTTTGTTTTTTAAATATCCATAAGGTTTCTTTCTGATTTTAAATGCATTACAGAAAACTAAGGAAGAAGGATGAGTGTCAGCTTCAGAACTTTCTGCACATTCATGCTGCTCATCCACCACATGTAAACAAAAGGATGAGAACGCACAGAAAGTTTTCCACTTCTTTTGCATTCACAGTCTGTTTTGCTAACATGAGTTCTCAGCAGGTTTCCGTCCAGGGGACCGTTCTGCAGGCCGGTAAGAGTTGGAATCTGGACGACGGTTTCGCCAGGGTGATTGTCTTTAGTCCCTTCCCAGCACTTGTCAACTGTGTGACTTCTCAGACAATTCCCTTGGTAGCTATGCAGCTCTTCTTAGCCACACAATTTGGAGATTTCTCTTCACATGGAGGGCTAGGGATGCATGGTTTTTAAGAATTGCATCATTGCCTGTTCAGTGGTCTTTGTCATTACTTGCTATGCTTCAGAGACCTGTACAATGATTAGGGATGGTAGGAGAATTGATACCTGTGAGCTTGTGGTGCTGGAGAATAGTATTGAATATACCATGGACTGCCAGAAGAACAAACAGGTTCATCCTAGAGAGGGTGAGACCAGGCTGCTCCCTGGAGGCAAGGATTCTGAAGCTTTGTCTGACATACTTTGGGCATGCTGCAAGGAGGGACCAGTCCTTGGAGAGGGACGTAATGCTTGGGAAGGTGGAGGGACAGCACAGGAGAGGAAGACCCTCGATGAGATGGATTGATTCCGTCACTGGGGTTATGGGGATAGGCATGTCAGAGACATAAGATTGGCAAGGAATAGAGCCGGGATTAGGACTGTTTTACATAGGGTTGCTATGAGTCATAAGCGACTCAACAGCACATAACAACAACAACGACGACATATTCAGTGGATAATGCTAGTCTACCACTGATGTTTTGGACACCTGACAGCAAAACCTATGGGATCCACATTTTTCAAGGCTTCCAACATTGCATCCTTGCAGAGTTTCCTCTGAGTAACAGACAGCAAAGTGCACTCTTCCTGAGTAAAGCCCACAATGACATCCTCAAGGAGCAATGTTTCCATTTCCTCACTTCACGGTTTGCAGGTTGAAGAGAAGGTTGTCACTAATCCCAAAAAGACTCTCCAGGAAGTGCTCCGAGTGGAGCACTGAGTAATCTGGAGGCAGATGAGTAATGTTGGGTCCACACTCTCTTCACCGCGGTTGAATTCTCCCGTGGGATTTACAGATACACTAGACGGTCTCTCTGGACCCCCAGCAGCCTGGAGTGGAGGAGATTCCTCAGCACCACACGTGAGGCCTGTGAACACACTGACACACGCATAGGTTCCCTCCAGATACTCGTGACAGAGGCGCGTGCGTCTCCTCTCCCACCGGAGAAAGTTTGAATCTCCAGGAGAGACCAGAAGTCAGAGCTGTGTCCTCGGACCTGGGAAAGGGCTTTGCCCTCACCCCCTAGTCAGCCAGGCCAAATGTGACTGAGAGAGAAAGGTTCCTTACCTCTGAGGAAACCCTGGCTGACATTCTTAATCAAAGTGACCAGTCATTTCACCAGAACTGGTCTAACTTTAATATTGACAATCTCGCATCCTAAGTAAGAGACCTCAGACTCCAGCAGCACCCAGGAGAGTGGACCATTCGATCTCATCATCTCAACGTTAAGACAAACTGTGTAGGAAACAGAAGACACTTCAAGAAACCCGATCCCTGCCCATCAATTATTCAGTGACTAGAGGATGAGGGGTGAGGTGGGGAAGGGGAGTCACATAACAGTTGGTGAGCCCACCTGACTTCAAAAGGATCCCTGGACAGGAAGTTTTTCATGACATTCTGAAGAGACTTAGAGATGCCCTCTGTGGTCCTACCCAGAAACATGAAGAGGCTCAGGAGGTCAGCGTGGTTAGGGAAGTCCAAGCTTTCAGGATGAATCTGCTAACAGACCGGGAGCCCAAAAGGTTCTCTGTGCAACAGTGGTTAGATCCCACCAACCTCAGGCCCTCTGTCCAGAAGAAACCAGTTTACAAGTCTCTCTCTTTCAACCAATCAATGTAAGTGAACAAAACCTTTGTCAAAACGTTGGGAACCTTGATTGAGCCAACCTGGTAAAGTAGCTGTAACAATTTCGTGTGTGTGTGTGTGTGTGTGTGTGTTACAAGGAGGCATTAATTAATGCAGGGACGGCATCATCTACCCTGTAGGCTGATACTGATGTTCATTCATGCCATTGGGCAATTGTGGTGAAGCAATTACGTATCACCTTTTGAAAGAGGCATTTAAAAAAAAAGCCTCCACCACCACCACACCAGTGAGATGATTCAGACATAATTACCTTGCTCCGCAGCAGCTGGGTTCAAGGCTCAAGGCCCAGGGTACAGAGGCTTCAAGGACGAAGGTGCACTCCACCTGTGGACACGGCCGCAGCTTAAGGTAAGAATCGTGAAAGAACCCCAGCTGACTGCCGGACTCTCTGCCAGCCGGTGAGCTCCAGAGACGGGGATTACCCTCATGCTGGGCGCGTTCCAGGTCTGGCAGCACACCTGGAGCAGTCAGCGATGTAATACTTAGCTGCTACATCCTGGATTATTCGGATGATTTGACTGGAGTCCTCTGTTTTGTTTTTCTTTGTCGTGTGTTTGTCCTATCACTTCTGCCCACTAGGTGATAATTCTCGGGTTAAAAGGTTTAGGGAAGATTAGTGGAGTGTGGTGTTTTGGGTTTTTGTTTTGGGGGTGTTTGTTGGATTTTTTTTTTTTCAGTTTTCACTAAAAATCTTTCCCTTTTTCATCCTGAAGGAGCAATAAGAGGTCATAGCTTAGTGTTACCTGGACTTCAGTTTGTCTGTGTTTCATTGGGGACCAGCACAGTGACCGAAGATGCTGTCTTGTCCCTGGGTCGGGATGACAGATGAGGTACTATGATTTCTGCTGTGGGGCCAGGATTTCAGTCAAAGCGCCGACCTAGATCCTGCCAGAGCCTGAATCACTGGGCTTGTCTGTGATGAATGTGGAGTTTGGGGAGGAACAACTTGGCATGGATTGTTGAAATCTTTCTACAAAGATCAAATATGTGGGCTAAGTTCTGGAAATCTTCCTCAGATCTGCCCAAATACCATAAACTGTCGATGTAGACTTCATGTGTAAAGGCATTTTATTAGACCAGGGATGTTGGACACTATTCCTACGGTCCACCATGAGGTGTCATGGTCCAACTCATCAAGTCAGCTCATTGTCATCAAGTCACAATAGACTCAGAGCTGACCCACCAGCAGGTTTTCAGAGGCTGTAAACCACAAGGGAGAAAGTGGCCCATCTTTCTCCCTCAGATTCGAACTGTGTGCTTTGGGGTTGATATAACTCTCTACCCACTAGGCAACCAAATAGTGGCCCCATGTGACGGAGCAGAACTGCCACACGGTGTTTTCTAAGTTGTAATCTCTATGGGAGCAGATCACCAGGGCTTTGTCCTACAGTAACTGAGTGAGTCCGAACCACCAGACTTTAGGTAAATAGGTTGATGCCTAACCTCTATGCTATAAGGGCTCCATTCATCTGGGAGCCAGCCACCCCCAAACCTGTGGAAATTCATCTTAACCTGTGCCTCTGTATGGAAGGCTGTATTTCACTATTACTCCTCTAACCAGTTTGGTGGGTTGTGTTTTTTTTTCCAGTCAGTCAAGACTTTCCTCCTCAGTTGTACTGAAGTTTTTCTTATTCCTGTTCACTGGGGCGGCACAAGAGCTGTTGAATTTAAGAGTTTCCTTTTGTGCATTCGATTCCTTGGCAGTGCAATGGGCTTTTGCTTGACTACCCACTGAAAGTCTGATGGTTCAAGCCCATTCAAAGGAGTCGTAAAAGAAAGACCCAGAAATCCGCTTCCGTAAAGATCCCATCTGTGAAAACCCCACAGAGCAGTTCTGTCCCATAGCACATGGATTCACCATGAGTCAGGATGATTTGATGGCTGTTGAAGTTTTTGTTTGAGGAAGATTGATTTTTTTTTTACTTATTCTGTGTTATTATATTTAATATATTAATCTGGAAATGTAATAACATCTATGTCCTTGAGTCTCGAAAAGAAGCAATTCCTGAGAAGCAACAAATAAGGAACTTGTTGGCAGAGCATTTAAATGCCCTTGGATCCTTCCCTTGGACAGGGAGCTTGCCCTGCCCTTACTTGTCAGCTGGATTACTTAACTTCTTAGGAGTCATCTCCCTGCTTGACAAGGTTCCTTTCTTTCCCTGCCCATAAATTATTTCCTAGGCAAGCAATTCAACTGAGAGCTGAATTCATCCTATCCTTTTGTACTCCAGTCATTTTATTCACTCATAAAATTTCTCAAAGAAATTATTTCTATATGTACTTTGGGGTTCCTGGACCACTATCCAAATAAATAATTTCAGAAATCTCCTTTAAGACAGGAAAACATTTTCCCCCCCCCCCTTGCTGGAAGGAAATTTAAACTCCATTTGTGCCTGAGAAAATACAAAGAGATTTATTTGCACTTTAATACTTCACTGTCCAGATGTTTAATGAGGCTATTCCACACGGAACATGACATTATATAATGCCTATTTAAGTTTCCAGATGAAAGTGAAAATTCTAGCATCTAGGGAACTTTTTGATGGAGGGAAAAAAATCCATAAGCATTCAAGTTAAGAATCTAAAAAAGGTCCTTTCCAGCCTGGTTCCGGCACTATGGCCCCTGCAAAGAAGGGTGGTGAGAAGGAGAAAGGCCGTTCTGCCATCAACGAAGTGGTGACCAGAGAGGACACCATCAACATTCACAAGCGCATCCATGGAGTGGGATTTAAAAAGTGTGCTCCTCGGGCACTAAAGGAGATCCGGAAATTTGCCATGAAGGAGATGGGCACACCTGATGTTCGCATTGACACCAGGCTTAACAAAGCTGTCTGGGCCAAAGGAATAAGGAATGTCCCATACCGCATTCGTGTACGATTGTCCAGAAAACGTAATGAGGATGAAGATTCCCCAAACAAGCTGTATACACTGGTTACCTATGCACCTGTCAGCACTGTCAAAAATCTACAGACCGTCAATGTGGATGAAAACTAATAGCTGATTGTCAAATAAAGTTATAAAACTGTAAAAAAAAAGAATCTATAAAAGCAAGGTTTGACTCTCTGGTATCTGATGGACTATGTGATCTTGAACAAGTCATTCAAGCTCTTTTGGCCTCAATGCTACCTCCTATTGAAAATGCAAATAAGATGTTGTGACTTTTGTAAATGGATACTCTTAGGTGCCTTCAAGTCAGCTCCAACTCATAGAGACTCTATGTACAGTAGAACAAAGCACTGACCTGTCTTAAACCATCCTCACAATTATGACCATGTGTCTTGTTTAGCTAGTGCTGTTACTACACCATCCCTAAGGATGGCTTTGCCAGAGAGAAATGTATTCTTTCACAGATTGTTGTTATGTGCCATTGAGTCAATTACAACTCATAGTAACCCTATGAACAATAGATCTGAACCCTGTCCTGTCCTGTGCCATCCTCAACATTGCTGGCACACTTGAGCTCATTGTTGCAGTTATGGTGTCAATCCGTCTTGTTGAGGGTCTTCCTCTCTTTCACTGACCCTCCCCACTTTTCCAACCATGATATCCCTCTCCAAGGAATAGTCTTTCCTAGCAATATGCCAAAGCGTGTAGACAAAGCTTAGTTATCTTGGCCTCCAAGGAGCACTCTGGCTGCACCTTCTCCAAGACACATCTGTTTGTTCTTTTGGCAGTCCATGGGATATGCAGTACCCTTCTCCAAACACAATTTATACTCTTTTTTTTTTCAGTACTCTTCTTTGAACCACAATTCAAAGGTATAAATTCTCCTTCTATCATCCTTATTCAATTGTCCAGCTCTCAGCAGCATAGCAAGTGATTGAAAAGACCATGGCCTTAATCAGATGCACCTTAGTCCTCAAATTTACATCGTTGCCCCTTGATAATTTGGAGAGACCCCTAATTGCAGACTTTCCCAGAACAATGTGACTGCTGATAGCAAGAGGGTTGATTATAGATCCAAGTACAATGATGTCATTAATAGTCTCGATCTTTTCTCCATCTTTAATGTTACCTATTGGTCTAGTGGTGAGAATCTTTGTTTTCTTGAAGTTGAGATACAATCCATACTGAAGGCTGCAGCCTTTGATCTTCTGCAAGCCCTCCTCACTTTTAGGAACCAAGGTTATGTCATCTACATAAAGTAGGTTATTGATGAGTCTTCCTCTGCTCCTGATGCCATATTCTTCTTCATAAAGTCCAGCTTCTTGAGTAATTTGCTCAGCATACAGGTTGACTAGGTTTGGAGAGGGAATACAATCTTGATACACACCTTAACTTTTTCTTACTGAGCAGGAGGCCAAAAATCCAAATTCAGGGTGCCAGCTCTCAGAGAAGGATGTCTCTCTGTCAAGAACAGTTCTAGGTGAAAGTCTTTGTCTCCTTTAGTATCTGTAGGCTTGGAGATCTCCATATGTCTTGGCCTTGCCCTGGGTCTATCAAGGAATCTCTTGCTGGGTCCAAAGGACACACTCCTCTCCTGGTCTTCGTTCTTGGTGACACTGAGGTCCTCTCTCTTCTCATTTCTCCTCTTTTGCCTCTTGTAAAATGAAAGGAAAGGTGTTACAGGTCAAATTGCAGGACAACTCCTCTTTCATCAAATCAGGGCTATAACTTAATTAAATATGTTATATTCCACCTTAATCCTCTTACAACTGATTGGTTGAGGATCTCAGATCACATTATGGAGAATAACTACATCATCTCATAAGTAAGTACCTCTAATCCTGACTCATTAACCTCACAGAGGTGTAGATTTACAACACAGTCAATAATTATACTTAGAAAAGAAAATTACAAAACATTGCTACAAGAAACAAAAAGAGAACTTGAGAAGTGGAAGAATATCCCTTGCTCATGGATAGGAAGACTCAATATTATGAAAATGGCAATATTACCAAAGGCAATTTACATGTTTAATGCAATCCCAATACAAATACCAAACCCATTCTTCACGGAGATGGAAAAAGCAATTTCCAGTTTCATTTGAAATGAAAAGAAGCCCCGAATAAGCAAAGCACTCCTTAAAAATAGAAAGGTAGGAGGTATCTCACTTCCTTATTTCAAATCCTACTACACCGCCATGGTGGTAAAGACAGCATGGTACTGGTACAATGACAGATGCATAGATCAATGGAATAGAATTGAGAAACCAGAGATCAACCCTCTATCTATGGTCAACTGATTTTTGACAAGGAGATGAAATCAGTTAAGTGGGAAACAGCCTTTTTAAGAATTGGTGTTGGCAAAATTGGAAAAGTATCTGAAGAAGACTCAAGCAAGATGCACACCTCACTCCATATACAAAAACCAACTCAAGGTGGATCATGGACCTAGGACTAAAATCAAGGACCATAAGCGTCATTAAAGAAAAGCTTGGAACAATGCTACAAGTTCTAATCCACAACATAAACAGTCTTCCAAGTATTCTGAAAAGCCTACAACCAGGAGAAGATAATAAAGATGAATGGGACCTTCTAAGAATTAAATCTCTACGCACATCCAGAAACTTCTCCAACAGGGTAAAAAGAGAAGTCACAGACTGAGAAAAAGTATTTGGTAATGACATATCAAATAAGAGACTTATATTCAGAATTTATAAAATACTTGAGCACCACAACAAGATAAAGGTAAATAATCCAATAGAAAAATGGGCACAGGATATGAACAGACACTTCACCAAAGAAGACATTTAGATGGCTAACAAGCACATGAAGAAATGTTCAAAGTCCCTAGTTCTAAGAGAGATGCAATTAAAACAACTATGAGATATGATCTTACCCCAGTCAGAATTGCAAAATTCAACAGAACAGCAAGCAACCAATGCTGGTGAAGTTGTGGAGAAACTGGAAACCTTATTCACTATTGGTGGGAGTGTAAAATGGTGCAACTACTGCGGAAGGTGGTATGGTGCTTTCTCAAAAAGTTACAAATAGAGTTACCATTTGACCCAGCAAAGAGACCATAACTGACATCCAAGCAGATATATGCACACCCAAGTTTATTGCGGCTTTGTTCACAATAGCAAGGAGTTGGAAACAACCTAAGTGCCCATCAGCAAATGAATGGATAGAAAAGCTGTGGTATATTCACACAGTGGAATACTATGCTGCATTGAAAAACAAGGAACTCATGCAATATTATTCAAAATGGGTGACCCTGGAGGACATTATGCTGAGTGAAATATTTCAGTCACAAAAAGACAAATACTGCATGGTGCCACTGTTGTAAAACAGGACTGACCTCGGGTTTGGGAGGAGACTGAGAAGGATGGGTTCAATAATGTATACTGTGTTGAAACAGATGAGGGAGAAAACTGTTTAAGAGGGAAAATGATTAGGTATTTTTGTCATGACAGGAGTCCAGAGCGAAGGCTGTATAGTGGAGTGGACCTGGGGTGAGGATTGTAAAACAATGAGAGAATTTTTCTTTTACTTTTCCATAAGGGTAGTGTACTAGAGGGGAGGGTTGGGAGGGGAGAAAAGTGCAACAATGAATGAACAGAAATCCAAAGTCTCTGTAAATTTTCATTGACATTAATAATAGATTTTAAAAAATGAAAAAAATAATAATACATACCTTGTGAGGGACTGGAGAGCATTATGTTGACTGAACTAATTCAGTTCCACAAGGATAAATATTCTATAAAACCATTATTGTAGAATGAGTATAAGGATCCAAGAGGGGTGGATGAAGGTGGAAACAGAGGGATGTGGATGTGCAGGAGAAGGGGGGATTAATCATGGGATGTCCAATTTGATGGGTGGGGGGGTAAGGGAAAGTGAAGGAATTTGTTCTTGAAAACAATGTGTTTGAATAAACTAGTAGAATTTTTTTAAAAGGAAAAAGAATAATAATAGTATTTTGAATCTAAAAGAAGCCTAGAGCATGATTTAACTCCTCTGAAATGAAAATATTTGTTTCTATAAAAAAAAAAAATTATACTTAGAAATACAGCCTATCCAAGTTGATTCATATTGGGGGGAGGACATTGTTTAATCCATTGTTTAGCCCCCTGTTACAGCTCCCGTATCAACCTATCTGATTGAAATTCTGTTTTTCATTGACTTATTTTACCAAGGATGATGTCCTTCTCCCTGGATTGCTAACTCCTAGTATCATGTCCAAAGTCAAATCTGGCCATCCTGTCTTCCAAAAAGGATGCCAACTCTTCTGTAAGAGTTGGCCTCTTCTAGCTATCCATCATATATTTAGTAGTGGGGTTTCTCACACACACACACACACACACACACACACACACACACACACACACTGTAAATCAAAGGCATCAGTTCTTTGTTAGCCTGCCTTATTCATTGTCCAGGTTTGGCATGTATTTTGTAAGCGATAAAAAAGAAACCAAAGCAAAACAGAACAACAACCAAAGAACACTGACTGCTATTGGGCCAATTCTGCTTCATAGCCACCTCACAGGCGAGATTATAATTATCCCACAGGGTTTCCAAGATTAGAAATCTTTACAGAAACAGACTGCCAGACTGCTTCAGCTTTCTCCCAAAGAGTGGCTGACGGGTCAAAAACACCGATATCTTAGTTAGCATCCCAGCAATTAACCCACTGTGCTAACACAAATTTTATTACTTTAGTCAATATTCTGTTAGCAAGTAATATCCCTGGTTTGATTTATTGAGTTGTTTACATAGTGGACATGTTGGTTCCTCCCCACTCCCCCAAGTCTTTTCTGATACCTCTCATAGTTAGAATCTTCTTGGCAGTCAGGTTGAATGGAAACAAATATTTTGAGGGGAGCCTCAAGACTGTGATCTTTGGACATATCTCAAATTTGGAATGAAATTACCCCTGGGTATCAAATTTCATTCGAACAACAGACAGGACTTTAACGGGAGTAATAACACCAGGGAGGAATGTACTTCTCAGAAAAATCAACCACATAAAACAACAAAGGCAGTAATGGCCCCAAAACAAAGCTCAGAAGTCAGGAAAAAAGGAAGAGTAGAAACAAAAACCCAGGA